GTGGGGTATCTTTTTTGGTGAGTCAGTGTCTTCCTGTCAATGATTGTTCAGCAGTTAGTTGTGATTCTGGTGCTCTCGCAAGAGGGAGTAAGCGCACGTCCTTCTACTCTGCCATCTTGAACCAATCTCTCTAGCTTCAGTTCTTAAATTTAGGTCTTTGGTTGATTTTGAGTTAATTTTTTTATATGGTATGAAGTGGGGGTCCAGTTTCATTCTTTTGCATATGGATATCCAGTTGTCCCAGCACCATTTGTTGAAAAGACTATTCTTTCTGCATTGAATGATCTTGCAGCCCTTGTCAAAAATTGGTTAATGCTACATTTAAGGGTTTGTTTCCAGATTCTCCATTCTATCCCATTGATCCGCATGACTGTCCTTATGCCAGCACCACACTGTCTTGACTACTGTTGCTTTGTAGTAAATTTTGAAATCAGGAAGTGTAAGTCCTGTAACTTTGTTTTTATTTGTTTTTACTTTATTTTTTTTTGCAGTACGTGGGCCTGTCACTGCCGTGGCCTCTCCCGTCGCGGAGCGCTCCGGACGCGCAGGCTCAGCGGCCACGGCCCACAGGCCCAGCTGCCCCGCGGCACGCGGGACCCTCCCAGACTGGGGCACGAACCCGTGCCCCCTGCATCGCCAAGTGGACTCTCAACCACTGTGCCACCAGGGAAGCCCCTGTTTTTATTTTTTAAAGATTGTTTTGGCTATACTGAATCTCTTAAATTTCTATATGAATTTTAGGCTAAACTTGTCAATTTCAGCAAAAAAGGCAGCTGAGATTTTGATGAGCATTAAATTGAATCTCTTGATCAATTTGAGGAGTATTATAATCTTATCCATAAACATGGGATGTCTTTCTGTTTATTCAGATCTTCTTTAATTTCTTTTCAATGATACTTCGTAGTTTCAGTGTACGAATTGTGTACTTTTTGTTAAGTTTATTCATAAGTATTTTATTCTTTTTGATACTGTTGTACATGGAATTGTTTTCTTAATTTTCTTTTCAGTGTGTTCACTGCAGTTGTGTAGAACTACAATTGTTTTTTGTATATATATATTTTTAATTTTTAAATGATTTTTGTATATTGATCTTGTATCCTACACCTTACTGAACTTGTTTATTATTTCTAATAGTTGTGTGTATTTGTGTGTTTTTGTGTGTGTTTGTGTGTGTGTTCCCAAGGATTTTATACGTACGAAGTCATATTATCAGCATATAGAGATAGTTTTACTTATTAGTCTTCAATCAGGATACCTTTTATTTATTTTCTTGCCTAGTTGCTCTGGCTAGAACCTTCAATACAATATTGAATAGACATCCTTGTCTTGTTCCTGATCTTAGGGGAAAACTTTTATCCTTTATTCTTTTATCATTACGTATGATGTTAGCTATTGGTTTTCACTGATGCCTTTTGTCAGGTCAAGGAAGTTCCCTTCTATTTCTAGTTTGTTGAGTGTTTTTATCGTGAAAGGGTATAGGATGTTGTGAAATGCTTTTTCTGCATCAGTTGAGTTGATCGTGTGTTTTTTCTTGATTCTATTAATGTGGTGTGTATCACATTCATTTTTTTTTAGGGGCATATATTTTAATTTAATTTTTTATTTTTTTTAACATCTTTATTGGAGTGTAATTGCTTTACAATGTTGTGTTGGTTTCTGCTGTATAACAAAATGAATCAGCTATATGTACACCTATATCCCCATATCCCCTCCCTCTTGCATCTCCCTTCCACCCTCCCTATCCCACCCCTCTAGGTGGTCACAAAGCACGGAGCTGATCTCCCTGTGCTATGCGTCTGCTTCCCACTAGCTATCTAATTTACATTTGGTAGACTAGATAGCTAGTGGGAAGCAGCCGCATAGCACAGGGAGATCAGCTCGGTGCCTTGTGCCCACCTATGTCCGGCCATTCTTGCATTCCTGGGATAAACCTCACTTGGTCATGATGTCTGATTCTTTTTAGTGTTGCTGGATTCAGTATGTTTGTGCTCTGTTGAGGATATTTCCTGTATCCATAAGGAATATTGGCCTTTAGCTCTCTCTTTTGGTGTCTTTGTCTGGTTTTGGTATTGATGTCATACTGGCCTCATAGAATGTGTTGGGAAGTATTCTCTCCTTTTCTGTTTTTTGGAAGAGTTTTTGAAGAATTGGTTTTAATTATTCTTCTTTAAATACTCGGTAGAATTCACCAGCGAACCCATCTGGTCCTGGGTTTTTTTGCAAGAAGATTTTTGACTGTTAATTCAGTCTTTTGTTTTAGGTCTATTCAGATTTTCTGTTTCCTTTTTAGTCAGGTTCAGTAGTTTGCATTTTTTAAAGAATTTTCCATTTCATGTAGGTTATCTAATTTGTTGGCATACAATTAATTGTTCATAGTATTCCCTTAGAATCCTTTTTTTGGTGAGGTCGATAGTAATGTTTTCTCTTTCATTCTTGATTTTAGTAATTTGAGTGTTTCTCACTTTTTCCTGGTCAGTCTAGCTAAAAATTTGGCAGTTTGCAGATCTTTTAAAGAGCTAACTTTTAATTTTGTTGGCTTTCTCTATTGTTTTTCTAAATTTGATTTTATTTATTTCTGCTCTAATCTTTATTATTTCCTTCATTCTCCTCACTTTGGGGTTAGTTTACTCTTATTTTTCTAGTTTCTTGAGGAAGAAGGTTAAATTATTAATTTGAAATTTTCCTTTTTAATATAGACATTTACAGCTATAATTTTTACTCTAAGCACTCCTTTAGCTGCATCCCATAAGTTCTGGTATGTTGTGCCTTCATTTTCATTCATCTAAAAGTATTTGCTAATTTCTCATTGGTTATTTAAGAGTGTGTTGTTTAATTTCCACATATGTGCGAATTATCTCATTTTTTTGATACTTATTTCTGATTTCATTCCCGTGTGGTTGGAGAACATACTTTGATGTTTTCAGTCCTTTTAAATTTATTGAGACTTGTTTCATGGCCTAACAAATGGTCTATCCTGGAGAATGTTCCACGTCCACTCGAGAAGAAGGTGTATTCTACCGTTGTTGGGTGGAGTGTTCTATAGATGTCTATTAGGTCTAATTGGTTTAAAGCGTTGTTCAAGTGTTCTGTTTCCTTGTTAATCTTCTGGCTAATTGTTGTGTCCGTACTGAAAGTGAGCACTGAAGTCTCCAGCTATTATTGTTGAAGTGTCTGTTTCTCCTTTCAGTTCACCAGTTTTTACTTCATGTATATTGGGGCTCTGTTATTAGATGCATATATGTTTATTTTGCCTTTATTCTTTCTCTAATGCTCTTTCTTTCTTTATGTAGGTCTGAGTTTCTGACCCATATGATTTTTTCTTCTCTCTGAAGAAGTTGTTTTAGTACTTCTTACAAGCAGGTCTGCTTACAAGCAGGTCTGCTGGTGACATTTCCTCGATTTTTGTTTGTATGATCAAGTCTTTATTTGTCCTTAACTCTGAAGGCTGTTTTGCTGGATACAGAATTCTAGGTTGGTGGGTTTTTCCCCTTTGACAGGTTAAACGTTTCATCCCACTCTTTCCTTGCTTGTATGGTTTCTGAAGATACGTACGTGTGGGCGTACTTTTTTTTTGTTGCACGTCTCATAAAATTTTTGTTGAAAACTAGACATTTTAAGAATGTGGCAGTTCTCAAAATCATGTTCTCCCTCCTTTCCATGTTTTGTTTGTTTAGTGACTTTTCTAAATTAACTTGGTAAGGTCTGTATTGTTTGTCACGTGTGGCCACTGAAGTCCCTGACTGGTTAGCTTATTGGTCAGTGTGTGATGGGACAGAGCTTTCCTTAAACGCCTGGACGCAGCAGTTTTCCAGTCTTTGCCGAGGGGCTCTTGGTGTGTGTTGGAGCATTCTGTCAGCCCTCAGCCAGGCAGTTTACAGCCTCAGCCTCCACCTCCTGCTTGGGCAGAGCCTCAAGGTCAGCCAGAGCTGGGAGCTTAGGGCCTTCTCAGGTCTTTCCTAGGCAAGCACATAGCCCTGGACATGCTCACAGCCTTCTAGATTCCCAGGAATATGTGGGAGCTTCTCAAAGCCACTATGGACGTCTCATTCCTCAGCTTTTCGGTTTAAGCTTTTTGGTTAGGCTATTATTTGCTCTGTTATCCACCCGTTCAGGCAGCTAAAATTTTAAACAATTGCCCCTGAATTTTTTTCAACAAATGCCTTTTGACAATAGCTTGTTCTCACTGGGCAAGCTCTGAGTCAGTTCTAATAAAGACAGCCTTGTGAGAGGGGTCTTTCAGGGAGCCATCAGGTAAGTCATACGATGAAAATTTTCTGATAATGGGGCTTGGAAGGAGTTTTAACCCTGTTCTTTCCCTTCCAGTGATTGGCAGGCTGCTGGGTTTTCACTGTGATTGTAGGATGTTGGTTTCAAGGCTATTGCAGATTTGGGGGTGAGGGGAGATGGGAATAGGAGAAGTTAAAATGCCATACAACTTGGTGTTCATTCTGAGATTCTGGCATCTCTCATGAGTAAGCACTCCCCAGATTGCTGCAAACCTTTGGTTAATTTCCAGAGCTCTGACACAGCTGATTCGGACAGTTTTCGCCAGTGTTCTCCTTACTTTTTTAGAGATGATTTTCAGAGGTTGTTGCTCCACCATTTTCGGTGCTGTTTTCCCCAGCTGTGCCTCTGACTGTGTGTTGGATGTGCAGTGAGGCACTTCAGGAGAGCTCAGAGCACCCACACTTTCCACCCCTGCTGCCCACCCCCCCAGAAAATGAGTCACTGGTAGTTGAGGCGCAGGTGGGTTTTCCTATCCAAATGCCTCTTTGTTGTCCCATTTTTGAAGATTATTGGATCTGCTGTAAAAGTGAGTCTAAAATCACAATTCTGTGTTCCCTTTAAGAATAGTCTTTGAAACATTGGCATGAAGGTCATGATTAGCGGCATTTCTACAGTCTCCAGCTGCCCTCTCAGAAGAGGTAGATAGGAGGTTGGCCACATTTATAGGATGTGCTTGAAGATAATGTAACCTATTTTTTTTTTTAATATCACAGGGATTTAACGTGCAAAACGGCAGTTGTACCAGATTGGCATACTTTGAATCCTCACACACAAAAATTCACTCATTTGAGACCCCACTCTTGACCATGTAGAGTGTATTCAAGGAATGGTTTCCAAAATGTGTTCAGACCTTCTTCATGTGAGTATTCCTGAGCAAATGATGCTAACAGTAGATATCATTATGTATGTTTAGTATGTAATAGACTCTGTACAAAGGCCTCACATGACATTTAATCCTCACAGTAAAGCTGTGAAATAAATTCTGTTATTGTCCCAGTTTTCTTTATGGGGAATCTGAGATACGGGTTTATCAAGCTACTTGCCCAAAAGTTGCATAGCTTTTAGGTAGCAGGGTTGAGATTTGTACCCAGACAGTGTGATTCCAGGATCCATGGAATTAACTACTATGTTATCTAGTATACTGCCTCACTCCTCAGTTTTTTCTTAATTAATAGACTATATTTTTCGAGTAGGTTTTTTTGGTTTGTTTGTTGGGTTTTTTTTGCCGTACTGTGTGGCTTGTGGGATCTTAGTTCCCTGACCAGGGATAGAACCTGGGCCATGGCAGTGACAGTGCCGAGTTCTAACCACTGTACTGCCAGGGAACTCCCTGAGTAGTTTTAGGTTTACAGAAAAACTGAGCTAAAGTGCAGAGAATTCCCATACACCTCTTCACTCCCCATCCTCAGTTTCCCTTATTAGCAGCATTGGCATTAGTGTGGTACATTCATTAGAATTGATGAGCCATTATTGACACATTATTAGAGTTCACACTCCTTGTGTTGTGCGTTCTTTGGGTTTTGATAAGCGTATAATGACATGTGTCTACTATTACTGCTTCATACAGAGTAGTCTCACTGCCCGGAGAATCCTCTGTGCTCTGCCTATTCATCCCTCCCCGCTGCAATCCAGGCAGCCATTGGTCTTCGTACTGTCTCCGTAGTTTTGCCTTTTTCAGAATGTCATTTAGTTGGAATCATTCAGTCCATAGCATTTTCACATTGGCTTCTTTCACTTAGGAATATGCACTTAATGCTCCTTCATGTCTTTTCATGATGTGATAGTTCATTTCTTTTTTTCTCTGAATAATATTCTCTTGTATGGATACAACAGTTTACTCACTACTGAAGGACATCTTGGTTGCTCTCATGCCTTGGCAATTATGAATAAAGCTGCTATAGACATTTGCGTGCAGATTTTTTTGTGGATGTAAAATTTTAACTTATTTGGATCACCCAGTTTTAAAGCAATAAAATTTGACATTATAATTTCCCCAAAATGTGTCTTTTCATTTGTTCATTCCTCCCTCCCTCCCTTCCTTCACAAACATTTTCTGAGCCCTAATATGTGACAAGAACTGTCACAGGGATGGAGGATAAAGAGATGGGTCCGGTAGAGGGTCTGCCCTGGAGGATCCCACAGTCTTGAGAGGGAGAGGAGGAATTCCAGCAGAACAATACCAGTGCCGGTCCAGAAGCACGTACAAAGCGCTATGAGTGCACAGCCTGAGGAACTGGAAGGACTCAGTGGGACGTAGTGAAAGGATGGACCAGAAGAAGGGCAATCTAGTCAGAAGTCACGCTCGCCACCTGTGCTCACCTGCATCCGTGAGAGGCCACAGGCATCTACCAGAGAGACTATTTCAAGTGGGCCATGTGTCTGTCCAAATCTCAGGAAGGAGGCGAGAATGGATGTTGAGGGATAACTGGCAATTTCCAACACAAACATTTATCATCCATAATAAATGTCTTCCAGCCCAATAGCTCCACGCCTAGAGCATACTTTGGACGTATCTCAGTTTAACTAGCTTTCTGACAGTGCAAAGAAGAATGGAGTGAAGTGGGATTACTGGAGTAAAGGGCATCCACACCCTTAAGGCTCGTGAGCACCACCAAATTGCCTTTTGGAAGCTTGTACTGCACATGCCCACAAGTACTTGTTTCTGAATATCCTAACACAGAATATTATCTCTTACATTTTGTCCATTTGATATGCATAAACAATATTCTGTTGTGATTTTTTTCTTTGTTTTTTTTGGTTTTTTTGCGGTACGCGGGCCTCTCACTGTTGTGGCCTCTCCCGTTGCGGAGCACAGGTTCCGGATGCGCAGGCTCAGCGGCCATGGCTCACGGGCCCAGCCGCTCCGCGGCATGCGGGATCTTCCCAGACCGGGGCACGAACCCGTGTCCCCCGCATCGGCAGACGGACTCTCAACCACTGCGCCGCCAGGGAAGCCCTTCTGTTGTGATTTTAATCTGCATTTCTCTAATGGTGAGGTTAACTTTGATTGTCAAGTTCATCAGGTTTATGTCTTTCTTTTGTCAGCTGCCTTTTCATGTCCTTTGCCCATTTACCCACTGTGGGTTGGTCTTTTTAGTTATTTGTATGAGCTCTCTGTATTAAAAATATTAATCCTTTATCTGCCTTATGTGCCATCAGTATCTTTTTTCATTTGCCTTTTATTTATGTTTTTTTTAAGTACTGAATTATTTTTTTCTTTTCTAAATAAAAATTATATATATAGAAACAAATATATTTAGCTAAAAATTATATACATACATATATAATGTCTCCTAGCACCCCTTTTCTCTCCAGAGTTGGTCACCATTAAGTGTTTGGCTGGCCTGTCTCTCATGCATGTCATGCATGCACACACACGTGTAGATATGTACTTATATGACTCATATTAAAGAAAGCACAATTAATGGGTGAATCTGTGAGCCACAGATATTAGACACCCTGTTTCCTTTTAAGATGTTTTTTGCTTTATGTTTATGTTTCAATTTGAATAATTTCTGTTGACCTGACTTTCTATTCACTAGTCCTTTCTTCTACTGTGTACAGTTCTGCTGTTAAACAAATTAAATGAGCTCTTGGCTTTGATATTGTATTTTTAATTTCTAGCTTTTTCATGTGCTTTAAAAAAAGTTTCCACTTCTCTGCTGAAATTCCCTAGTGTTCAGCATTTTGTCAGTTTTCCCTTAATCTCTTTAACGTATTTGTCATTCTTGGATTAAATACCTGATCGTTTCTACATCTGTTCTCTCTGTGGGTCTTCCATGATTCTTTTTTGCTCTTGATCAGGTCACCTTTTCTTTGTTTATTTGTCTTGCAATTTTAAAAGGATTTAACACCAGACATTTGTGTAAAACAGAGTAGAGACAGAAGTAAATCATATTTACCACCAGGAAAAGGAGTGCCCCTTCTGCTCAGGCTGCTGGTGAGGTGGGCTGGCTCAGTTTAATTTCTCAGTTGAACTCTGTCTGGATTTGGTTGCTGAGCACTGCTGAGACTCCAGCCATCTCTGCTTCAGAGTCCAGCTGCCAGCTTGGCATCCTGTGGCAGGCTCTCTGCTTTCCAGCCCTCCTGCCACTTTTGGAGGGTTTCTGGGGAGCTCTGTGTGTCCTCCAGCTCAGCTGCTAGCTTCGTGCACCTTAGGAGGTCGCCCTCCGCCCTGCTGCCCTGCCTGCAATTGCAGTGGGCTGCTGAGGTGCACTCGGTGAGGGCCCCGTATGCTTCAGAGGGGTTTGCCGCTCGTCTGTGCTCAGGCACGGTGAGCAGCTGCCTGACACTTAGGGAAGACCCTGCATCCCTCGGGGCATTTCACACAGCTCTCCTGCCTCACTCCCAGCTTTGGGGTGCTTCCTGTGCAACGTGTGAAGGCCCACGAGGACGGGTGCAGACTCGTACTGTGACTGAGGCTCTTGGGATGCAAATCCATGGGATCGGTCCACGTGGCTACTAAGCAATCACTTGTTTTCTCCATACCCCTGTGTAGAATGAATCTGCTTCTCTGCCCAAGACTCTTCAAGGGTGAAAGGAGTCATGGGTGTTTTCTCTCTGAGGAGTGGCTGGTCCTTTCTGGAGTTTAGTTTATTTGTACCCTCAGTTCTTTGGTGGGTTTCACACCCCTCTCTTTTTTTAGCTTATCCTACTTGTTCTCAGTGCCAGGGTCAGAATGACAATCTGCTGTGACTTTCTGTATCCTAAACGGATGTAGAAAATTTTGTCAAATTCCCCTCCAGAAAGATCATATCAGTTAGTACTCTCCCACCAGCAGGTTGTGCAAGTTTGGCTACCGCTTTCATTTTAAATTCCAGAAGTTGCATTAGGCTTGTGAAATAAAAAGTCTGCCCTCAAGTTAACTCAAATAGTTTCAAAGCAATATTTCTGATACTTCAAAATTAGAATTATTGATTGCCAAGATGGGGCTGCTTGGAAAGCACCTGAAAATGCGCATGAAAATTCTGAAAAAAGATTGCAAGATGGAGACATAAAGACATAAAGGGGTCCCTCTGTGACGCTGGGTTCAGGAGGAGGAATTCCAGGCTGGGTGGGCAGAGGGAGAAATACTCTCCACCAGCTGATGTGGAGCCCTGCAGCTCCGCCACGTGAATCAGCGGCTTCTGAGGTTTGAAGCCACAGTCAGAAACTCAGAGGAGCGCAGGCAGCCACTCTGCACATTGAGAAGCGACAGTCAGAAACTCAGAGGGACGCAGGCAGCCACTCTGCGCATTGAGAAGCGACAGTCAGAAACTCAGAGGGACGCAGGCAGCCACTCTGCGCATTGAGAAGCGACAGTCAGAAACTCAGAGGCGCAGGCAGCCACTCTGCACATTGAGAAGCGACAGTCAGAAACTCAGAGGGACGCAGGCAGCCACTCTGCACATTGAGAAGCGACAGTCAGAAACTCAGAGGGACGCAGGCAGCCACTCTGCACATTGAGCATCCTTGGAGCTCCTGTGGGAGATTTAAGACCCTTCTCCCCCAGGCTCTGTGCCCAGCCCTCTTCTGCCTGTCTGTCTTCTCCTAGGTGAACATCTGGTTCCACATCCCGAAACACCCCCCATAACAAACAGCAGCTCCGTTGTGACCCCCGTCCTAAGCTCCCCGGCTGCCCCCCACCTCGTTGGTTTGTCCTGCTGCTTTTGCGGCACTTGGCACTATCTACCGTTACCTCATCATTCATTTGTCTGTTTCTTGTTTTGCTTCCCCCTCCAGAGTCTAAGCTTTCCAGGAGCAGAGCATCCTAAATGAATGATGGTCACCAAGGCTTTGCAATCTCATTAATAGATATAAGAGATTTACCAAGCTACCATGGTTCTTAGCCTCCTCTTTACCTACTAGGTTATAAAATATCGAAAGGGACTAATCACATCTTCATGTTTATGATACCGATTGGCACCATGAGTTAATTTGTAGTTACTGTGTTTGTAGGGTGTCAGCTGCCCTTTGGTGACACGGGGACTCTGGGACCTAAACCATTACAGCTGGGACCCCTTTCCCCACCAGGAAGTGCAGGCGCCCTGCAAGCTCATTCCAGAACTAAACATTCTTCATTATCCTTTAGCATCCAGTGATGCTTACCTCTTCCTTGTCTTTGAAAGGAAAAGGTTGTAGATTTAAGAATTACGTGTTTTCCCCTCAAAAATTGGCAAGGGGATGAAAAGTGAATGTAATATTTTGAAGATTTATTTGAGATAAAATTGATTCTTAACTAAGTTTTATTTCAATGTCCATGTTTTTCACTTGTGACATAGGTCCTTTATAGGGAAGATTATCTTCGCTCTTTTTTTCTAATGTTACTACTATTACTTTATATTGATTGAAATGTAAATTTCAGAGGTGCAACAAATGACTGCAGATTTGCAATTGCGGGTCATCTACTTGTAAACCTAGATATAGTGGAAGAAATACTGTTTAGAAGTTTGTTGGATTCTAGTACACAGTGAAATGCTGTTTATTGTCTTAGCTTTAAGAGCGTTTAATAAATAGCTGTCTCTCTTTTATAGCCACAGCTGTTGCACATCCAATACTGTCGTCCTTAGATGTTAAGCGGATTTTATTTCAAAAAATTACTGATAAAGGAGATGAGTTGAAGAAAGCCTTTCACCTGCTCGACATCAGTAACAACATGACGGTGACAAAGAATGAACTGCGAAGAGTCATCACAACCTTCCTGCTGCCTCTCACGAGAGAACAGTTTCAAGATGTGCTGGCTCAGGTACAGTGCGGAAAAGGCTCAGAATCACCCAGTATGGAGGAGGGAATGCAGTATATTACAGGAGCATGTAACCTCGTCTGGCTTTCCCCCACTGTCCCAAATAGAGTTTTGTTTGTCACAATTCAATTAAATTCTGGCAGGTTTGGGACAATTATCATGTGCTTGGGTCATATTTTGTGGGTAGCAGTATTGTAGTCATATTAGTTTATTTTTTAAGGCTTCCATATAAAGAGTATTTGGTCAGCATGTACTTTGAAACTTAGTATTTGCGTTTGTTCTTACCTGAAGTGGTTATTGAGCATCTACTGTATGCTCAACCCAATGCAGAGCAATCAGACAGTTTTCAGCTATTATTTCTTCAAATATTTTTTTCTACCTCTTCCTCTGCTCTCTCGGACATTTTGGTATTGTCTTCCAGACCCCTGAGGCTCTGTTCATTTTATAAAATATTTTTCCTGTCTATCTTTCGGACTGCATAATTTTCATTGATGTGTCTTCAAATTCACTGACTCTTTCTTAGCATCTCCATTCTGCTATGAAGTCCATTCGGTGAATTTTTAACTTTAGACATTGTATTTTTCAGTTCTAGAGTTTTAATTTGGTTCTTTTTTTTATAATTTCTATTTATCTGCTTAGATTTCTTGGTTTTTCTTTCAATTATGAGCATATTTCTTTGACTACATTGAGCGTAGTTAAAATAGCTGCTTAAAAGTCCTTATCTGGTGATTCTAACATCTGGATCATCTCAGGGTTGGCCTGCTTTGATTTTTTTCCTTTGAGAAGGGTCACATTTCTCTGGTTCTTCATTTCTGAGCATATTTGGATAATATCCCAGACTAGTGCTATTCAATAGAAATATAATGTGAGTCACATAAATAATTTTAAATTTTCTAGTAGCTACATTACAAAAAGAAATAGGTGAAATTAATTTTAATAATATTTTTATTTGACCAAATAAATGTATCTAAAATATGATCTCATTTCAACATGTAATCACTATTTAAAATTGGTAATAAGATATTTTACATTCTTTTCTGTGTACTAAGTCTACAGAGCCTGGTATGTACTTTACACTTACAGAAGACCTCAATGCTGACACTAAATTTCCATTGGAAATACTTTATCTGTATTTAGAGTTCATAAAAGTTGCTGTTGAAATATTAGATTCATATAGCCGGTCATTCCAAACTTAAAAGTTTTCCCAAAGTGAAGTTAGTTTTAGAATTTAAATAAATTAACATGAAATTTAACAAACGGTTCAGCTCATCAGTTGCCCTAGCCACGTTTCCAGTGCTCAGGAGTCACGTATGGCTCTGGCTGTTCATTAAACGGTGCAGCGCTAAACGTCACGAATGCTGTGCTGTGGAGACTCTGGATTCTGTTATATTCCTCTGAGACTTTTGATACTTTTGCTTTGACAGGCAGTTAACTCGCAAATTCTCCCTCACCCGCAGTGGGCAGTCATTCATATCTTGATTCAGCTTTCTGGTCTTTTGCTGGGGCTCTTGAGTCTGACCCGCACACACATGGTTCAAGCGCCAGCTGGAAGTGTGGACAGAGCGCGTACACAGAGAGTGTTGCTCCTCCTCTTTCAGGTTCTTCTCACATTGTTTTTTGTTTTGTTTTTTTGTTTTGTTTTTGCGGTACACGGGCCTCTCACTGTTGTGGCCTCTCCCGTTGCGGAGCACAGGCTCCGGACGCGCAGGCTCAGCGGTCATGGCTCACGGGCCCAGCCGCTCCGCAGCATGTGGGATCTTCCCAGACCGGGGCACGAACCCGTGTCCCCTGCACTGGCAGGCAGACTCTCAACCACTGCACCACCAGGGAAGCCCTGCTTTATTGTTTATAAAAAAGCAGTCACAGAGTCACAGACGAGTTGGAAGTATAGTGCAAAGAACAATTTTCTCTTTCATAAGCCATTTGGGGGTAAGCTGCTCCATTACCTCAAATATTTCAGTGTATGTTTCCTTAAAACCAGAGCCCTGTTCTATACACCCACAATCCAGCCGTCATGGTGAGGATAGTAATGTCATCTCATGTCAGCTGTCTCAGCCCCAGGCCCCAGGTCACAATCATGCAGTGCATTTGGCAAGTCTCCTATAGTCTAGAACACTTCTTCAGTCTTTCCTTAGTCTTGAGGACCATAACACTTGGAAGATTGCAGACCTGTTATTTTGTAGAATGTCCCTGACTTGAGTTATCGGATGTTTCCTGATGACTAGATTCAGGCTTGCATCTTTGGCAGGAATGTCACAGAAATGACGCTGTGCTCTTCTCCACGCTTTTCTTAGCTTACAGGTGATTTCCGTCTGTCCCATTACTGCTGATGTTCACTGCAGTCACTTGATTAAGGTGGAATCTATCAGACCCATCTGTCTTTTTCCTGGTGGAGTGCTCTTTATCTACTTTGTAATTAATAAGCATTTTGTGGGAGAAACTTTGAAACTATGTAGATATGCCATTCCTCACCATACTTTCATGTATTCATTTATTGTTTATATGTTTGCAGGGACTCGGGATTTTCTGTTTTATTAAGTGGCTTATGATCCATTATTTTCATTATTTATTTTGATGTTTCAATTGTCCCTAATATAGCCAGTAGGAGCCGCTTCATGCTGGTTTCTGTGTCCTTTTGACATGTGTCCATCATTCTTTGAGCACTTCCTTACTTTCTGATACAAGATACTATAAACTCACCTGTACTTTCCTTGCTTCGGTCCCAGAATCATCCATTTCTCCAAAGAGCTCTGGTTCCTTTTAATGGAACCAAGTATCCAGAATCTGGGATCTGAGTATACCAGAGCTGCTGTTTGCTCCAGGCCCTCTAAGTGGGCAGGGCCCCAGGGGATATATTCCATATATAAACATATATACACATTTACATACACTTACATCTACATGTATTTCTATATCAATCTGTATATTGAAAACCGTGAGTGCACACCAATACCGCCAGTTCTAACCCCGTACCTCAGGGTTCATTGTAATTTTCTCACTTTCTATGTTTGTAACTACCGTTTCAGACAATGAGCCACTTGGCTTCTGTGTTCTGAGTATATTCACTTATTTGATCAGCCTCCCTGGCATGTGACTCATGTCCCATGTCCAGCACCTCCACCCCCAGGTGGATGCCCTCTTCCTCCAGCCCGGCTCTGGAGCACGGCTCCCCCATGTTGCAGACGCCACTTTTGTCTGCCCCATCTAATGACTGTAGGACTGAATTGTGAGGGAACAGACAGGGAAGGAGGGAAGGGGAGGAATGATGAAGAGCTTTTCTCTTCTTCTTTTAAAAAATGTATCCCCTTTATTCACTTCCAGAATTTCACAAATAGTATATATTGATTCTTCTACATGTCACCTTTTGTTGTATCTGCATTTTAAATAAAAGCTTTATAAAGATATAATTTACATATCATAAAATTCACCATTCAAACATGGACAAGTTCCTGGTTTTTCATATACTCACAGAGTTGTGCAACCATCACCACCATCTAATTCCAGAACATTTTATCACCCCCAAAAGAAACTCTGGATTCATTAGCAGTCACTCCACTCCCCTTCCCCTAATCCCTGACATCCATTAATCTACTGATACCTTACGTCACAACAGATTGCCAGTTCTGGAGAGTTCATAAAATGGAATAATGCAATATATGATCTTTTGTAACTGGCTTCTTTCACTAAGCATAATGTTTAGTTATGCTAAACATCCATGTTGTAGCATGAATCAGTATTTCATTCCTCATTATGGCTGAATAATATTCCACTCATGGATACACCGCACTTTATCATCAGTTGATGGATCTTTGGGTTATTTTCACTTTTTGGCTTTTGCGAACAATACTGCTGTGAAATTTCATGTACAAATTTTTATGTGGACATATGTTTTCGCTGCTCTCGGGTACATACCTAGGAGTGGAATTGCTGTGTCGTATGGTAATGTTCTCTTGCTTTTAAAGAACCTTTGTCCTCACAAATATCACATGTTTCCTCATAACCTTGATTTAACTGTTCCTTTCTTTATACCAAATGGAAAGTTAAAATATTATTTCCTGCTGATGTCTCCCTATATTCATGATCTAATCTTTTTTTTTTTGCTTTCAAAGAGTAGTTTGCAGTTTATTTTTTTTATTTTATTTTATTTTTTTAAACATCTTTACATGATCTAATCTTAATTTAAAATTTTGACAGCCTTCCCAAGCTAATCAGCTATGCAGGAAGAGGAAAAGTACAGAAGATGTGAAATGTGCATCCGTTTTTTAAGAGCTACATCTGTTTTTAAAAGAAGTCACTGAGAACTATAGAACTTCAGAGACTTTAAAAAACAGGTTCTGATAGTCTGTCTTATAATCAGGATGTTTTTCTAGAACCTTGAGCTCCTGTGACCCCCTCCTGTATAAACCAAGGAGACTGCAGTGTGGTGCCTTTTCAGGAGGCCAGGTTCATTGGGAATGAAGGCCGGGGGTTCTCTTCCTAATCCCTGGAATTCACAGTGTGTGTCCCTTTTCTAGATCTTTTCATGACTAATCCAGGTGGTGATACAAACTTTCTTTTTCAATAGTTAATATAAGCTTAACTGGAAGTATATAAAACAGGTAAAATATTTCATGGGACTCTCACCCTTAAAATTAGAAAAGAATTTTCCAGTTATAGTGAATTTACTTTAGCTTTAATTTTATTTCAAGAACCGTGTCAAGAATGTTTTAACGTCAGGGTATTTTGATGATTGATCAGGGCAAGAGTGATGAGGAGGCATTGCTTGTAACCTGCCCTATACCTTAGTTTCATTAATAGTAAAACGAATTTTTAAAAAATGTGGCTTCAGTCTCTGAATATTAATATAAACATTTTAAAAGAGGTTGAATTGGTAAATAGATTCCAGAGAAACTGAAAGCATTTCCACTAAGATCAGGACCAAGACAAGGTTGTCCACTCTCACCACGCTTATTCAACATAGTTTTGGAAGTTTTAGCCACAGCAATCAGAGAAAAAAAAGAAAGAAAAGGAATCCCAATAGGAAAAGAAGAAGTAAAGCTGTCACTGTTTGCAGATGACATGATACTATACATAGAGACTCCTAAAGATGCTACCAGAAAACTACTAGAGCTAATCAATGAATTTGGTAAAGTAGCAGGATACAAAATTAATGCACAGAAATCTCTGGCATTCTTATACACTAATGATGAAAAATCTGAAAGTGAAATTAAGAAAACACTCCCATTTACCATTGCAACAAAAAGAATAAAATATCTAGGAATAAACCTACCTAAGGAGACAAAAGACATGTGTGCAGAAAATTATAAGACACTGATGAAAGAAATTAAAGATGATACAAATAGATGGAGAGATATACCATGTTCTTGGATTGGAAGAATCAACATTGTGAAAATGACTACTACCCAAAGCAATCTACAGATTCAATGCAATCCCTATCAAACTACCACTGGCATTTTTCAAAGAACTAGAACAAAAAATTTCACAATTTGTATGGAAACACAAAAGACCCCGGATAACCAAAGCGATCTTGAGAACGAAAAATGGAGCTGGAAGAATCAGGCTTCCTGACTTCAAGCTATACTACAAAGCTACAGTAATCAAGACAGTATGGTACTGGCACAAAAACAGAAATATAGATCAATGGAACAGGATAGAAAGCCCAGAGATAAACCCACGCACACATGGTCACCTTATCTTGATAAAGGAGGCAAGAATATACAGTGGAGAAAAGACAGCCTCTTCAATAAGTGGTGCTTGGAAAACTGGACAGGTACGTGTAAAAGTATGAAATTAGAACACTCCCTAACACTGTACACAGAAATAAACTCAAAGTGGATTAAAGACCTAAATGTAAGGCCAGACACTCTTAGAGGAAAGCATAGGCAGAATGCTCTATGACACAAATCACAGCAAGATCCTTTTTGGTCTACCTCCTAGAGAAATGGAAATAAAAACAAAAACAAACAAATGGGACCTAATGAAACTTAAAAGGTTTTGCACAGCAAAGGAAACCATAAACAAGACGAAAAGACAACCCTCAGAATGGGAGAAAATATTTGCAAATGAAGCAACTGACAAAGGATTAATCTCCAAAATTTGCAAGCAGCTCATGCAGCTCAATAACAGAAAAACAACCCAATCCAAAAATGGGCAGAAGACCTAAATAGACTATTCTCCAAAGAAGATATACAGATTGCCAACAAACACATGAAATAATGCTCAACATCATTAATCATTAGAGAAATGCAAATCAAAACTACAATGAGGGGCTTCCCTGGTGGCGCAGTGGTTGAGAGTCTGCCTGCCGATGCAGGGGACACAGGTTCGTGCCCCGGTCCGGGAAGATCCCACATGCTGTGGAGTGGCTAGGCCCGTGAGCCATGGCCGCTGAGCCTGCATGTCCGGAGCCTGTGCTCCGCAATGGGAGAGACCACAACAGTGAGAGTCCCGTGTACCGCAAAAAAAAAAAAAAAAAACTACAAATAGAACTACCATACGATCCAGCAATCCCACTACTGGGCATATACCCTGAGAAAACCATAATTCAAGAAGAGTCACGTACCACAATGTTTATTGCAGCTCTATTTACAATAGCCAGGACATGTAAGCAACCTTAGTGTCCATTGACAGATGAATGGATAAAGAAGATGTGGTATATATATACAATGGAACATTACTCAGCCATAAAAAGAAACGAAATTGAGTTATTTGTAGTGAGGTGGATGGACCTAGAGTCTGTCATACAGAGTGAAGTAAGTCAGAAAGAGAAAAACAAATACCGTATGCTAACACATATATATGGAA